AGTACAGACGTTCCATTTGCGCTTGCGTCCTAGTGGCCTAGTGGATAACGCTGTAATTATTGAAATGATGGATTCAGGGTTCAAGTCTCAGCTGGGATATCATCTATCAGTCACCGGAGATGCAAGTACATCCAGTTGACGAGTCCCTAATGGGACGAAATGCTCATCTGGGATTCCACTTCTAGTCAGCATAATCCAAAATGAAATTAAAAAACACCTGTTGTATTAGTTATGAACTTAATTAACTAGACGTCAACATCTACCGATGATTCCCAAACTAGGAGGATGAAACAACTGTCCAGTATTACGGTGCTGGTTTTCAATGGTTCTCTAACTGATTTCAGTCAATGATCGACTCGTAAAAACAAAACTAATCCTTGCAAACTATAGAAAGTAGAAACGAAGAAAATAAAAACTGATGAACTGATTGAGTAGAGAGTGATACAGAATCGATTTAAATGTAGTCTCAAGTAGCAATCAGTAATCAATGATCAATTACAATTAACGAACCTCAACAGATACATGCGAAAATATGATTCTCAAGGAAGATGCGTTATGTTTAAATGGGGCTGTGATAAGAGATGGAAACATCAGGACGGTGGAATAAGCTAAGGAGGAATAGAGAAAGGACTCCGAAATTATTCCGTATAGTCCCTGACTTTTTACCTGAACCATGTGAATTTTATTATTATTAACTTCTCGAGTTCCGAGGGGAACAAAAGACTTCACCAGGCCAAAGAATATGAATTACACAAATGCATTTTCCAAACTGCTAAAAACCAGTGAAAATAGTAATTTTTTTAGTGACATAACTCAAAATCGATCTCAGTACTGAAGGTATATAATACTCTATCATTTTCGAGTTTTTCTTTAAAACTATTTTACTGACTTTTGTTTTCCTTATTTATTCATGAGTAGGCTATTTAAGATAGTCTTGGATTGACAGACTGCTACCGATGTAATGAGGGATGACTAGAAGTGAAATGAAAATTTGTGTTGCTCCAAGATTCGAACTAATGGCCTCTGACCACTAGTCCACCACTCAACCAGCTGAGCTTTGAGAACCAATGGTTGGCCAGGTCATCGCTACACTACAATCATCATAGTTAGTACCCAATTGTCAAGCGAATGAATGACATGTCACTCTTTGTTCATCATTACACTAGCTGTCCAGATAGGTCTTCTCCTGTCAACTTTGAATTAAAAGAAGAAGAGCAGTTTGATAACTGATGACAACACTAATTCGGATAGTCTTTGGTTGATAGACTCCTCTCTGTCTCTACCTCATCATGCCTTCGATTACTGAAACCACATTTCTTAATGTTAAAAATTATGCCATTTTGTAGTAATCCAATGTCCCAGACCAATCTGTATGCTTGTTTTATCTAACAGGATGAGCTCAAGTTATTTTCCAGAAATATTCTTTCTGAGATATACTTCTCATGTAGAGTATGCATTCATGAACCCCCTAATATTGATTTTTGAGACTTAAAGATAATAGGAGTTATTTGTAGTACTGAGCTTATATTCTACGACTTAAAAATGGATAATCTAATTATACACTGATTCATTTTATTACAATATTACCAAAAAGAACACAAAAGTCAAAACCATGAAAGTGAATTTATCATTTGCAAATTATACAGTTATGCAGCAGGTCGGGTGTGAGGACAAATACTCGCCGAAGACACTGGCTAATGGTCGCGCTATGTTGTGAATTGGAAGAAGTTAGAATTCATGGGCTGGCCATTAGATCGGGCTCCAGTGAATTAATGGTCTACGAGCTCACCTTGCAACCAGAAGGTCCTGGGTTCGAACCCCGGTGGGTGGATACTGACGAAGAGTCCCAAATTAGGACGAAACAGCTATCCAGTACTCCCAGGTTTTCCAGTGGTTCTCTAACCAATGTCGGCTGATGATGAAATCCTGTAAATAATCAACCAAATCCCTACAAACTAACACTTGAATTATGCAATTGTTATGAATTTCTAGGGGAAATTACAATGAATCTTCATCCCAGAATAGCAAGTTTGCCTCTACATATTACCAGTCCTCACAAGCAGTTTACAGGAATTTCAGTGATTTAAACTCTGATTCGACTGTCTGCGACGATTTTAACTTCGTACGCCATACGCTGAGGAAACCATCAAGTGACATCACTAGACAAACCCTCAAGTGGAACCCGAAAGGGAAGCGGCGAGTTGGTCGTCAGTGTAAGGGTGACTTGGAGGAGGTCATGTGAGGAGGAGATGAAAGCATGTGGGCAGACTTGGAGCGGAGTGAAAAAGTTGTCAGAAAACAGAAGGCAATGGAGATGCGCAGGTGAAGCCTTATGTTCCTCTAGGAATTATAGGATATAATAATAAATAAATAATAATACCACAGTAGACTTTGAGACTTAATGAGAGAAAACGGTTTCGAGTTTGACCGGCAAGAACTACTGTTTGATGTGTGTGTGTGTGATTTCCAACTACCTCTACGGATCAGTAGTGAATACCATTCCGCTTTAGAAAATAAAATAACCCGTAAGTAGGAAAAATTACTAATGACTCAATGCATACAGTTAAAGAAAAAATTACAACTTGGAATTTTTCGAACTAATTGATAAAATGAAGTCATAACATTGAAAGATAAGATAGAAGGTAACTGAAATCGCTTGTTTTCAGAGTGGATTCGCCATTTGCAAATAGATTTGGAGTTCCCACAGTTCGGGGAGGTGAAATTTCCCCACAGTATCCTTTGGATCACAGTATATTTGATGCGATCTGCTTGATACCATAAATGGAAATTGAGAAAGCGAGCATAACTGCATAAACCTGTGTGAAGTGTAAGTGTTACACAACTACTCATTTCAATCATTCAGTAGTATATAGTTTTTATACTGCTTATGAATAGACTTTAGAACAACAGATGACTTTTTTATGAAAAAATACTTTAGATATGTTAATGGTAATGTCTTTTAGGCTTATTTAATATGCTTTTTGGTATTTTTCAACTTTTAACTGATTAAAAATGCTCATTAAATTTTTTGTCTTCAAAAGAATGGTTATTGAACAAAGAATATTCTTTTCAATAACTTCATCATCAGCTTCTACAGTTATATATACATAATAGTCAATAGTTTGGTGTTATTAACACCATGAATTATGTTTACATAACATCGAATCAATAGTAACAATATCAATGGATTACAGTCCTATAGCATCAACATAACAATACACACTGAATATCAGAGAAATTAGGAAAAGTAATAATACAAATTCATGAATTTTTAGTTTCTACTGAAGGCCATTCAGGGCAGTAGTAGTGTCTATACTTGCTCCTTCTCCACACAGAGCACCGGTTGTTTTAGGCGAATAGCGATAGCCTCAGCTGTTTGGAGTATGCGGTACCTGGATACTTCCGGCAATTTGTTTGGTACCTGATAGATGATAGAGAAGGATTCTTCAATGCTGGCTTTGTGACCAGTTTGAACCAGATGGTCTAATATCAAACTGTTGATGGTTTTTACTACGCCTTCACTTAGCCATACTGGAAGATGTTCTCGAGCACGAAAAATCTAGTTCCTACAGCTGCCACAAAGCCAGCATTGAAGAATCCTCCCCTATCATCTACCGGGTACCAAATAAATTGCCAAAATATTCAGGTACCACATGCTCCAAATAGCAGAGGCTATTGAGATTCGCCTAAAACAACCAGTGTTCTGTGTGCAAAAGAAGCAAGTTCGGCCACTACTACTGCGCTGACCGACCTACAGTGGAGACTGAAAATTCATGAATTTGGTTTATTATCTTTCGGATATTCAGTGTGTATTGTTATGCTGATGCTATCGAACTGTAATCCACTGATATTAATATCACTATTGATTCGATGTTATTTAAACAACAATAATGTTGTTAATAACACTAATTCTTTGACTATTTTAATTAGCCATTTTAACACAATCAATACAGCTTGAAATCAAATTTAAAGATAAGCTATTCTACTTATAAACGTAAAACAGCATTTAAAAATTCATAGTAAGTTGTGTTTTTTTTTCAGCGTAGGTTTTATCAACAACCTAAATCAGTTACAGAATCACCGAAAACTAAATAAAGTACTAAATAGATGAATCCTATTCTTGATGAATGAGTACTACTGAATAAACCCAAACTAGGAGAATCGAACAGTTGTTCAATAATCTAAAACTTCATACATTTAATCCCCTTTATGAATTTGAATAAAGCTAGAACAACAGTTTTTTCAGAATAATATGGCACCATCATTTATTTCGTCGGCTTCTCATCAGCTGCATACAGCCTAAGTAAATTATTAAGTTTTTATACAGAAAACTTTTCACATACTTGCAAATTCTATATGATGTCAGTTGACAGGAGGTTCTGGACTAAGTGAACAGTGCTCAGAAAATTACGCTTATATGGTTTTTACACAGACATTTCTAGTTTAAACAAAGTAAGTGTATGAATACAACGGTAGGAGAGTTACATAATAAAGACCACAGGTACATAAGATGATCAGTAACAAATAAATTGGGTGACAATGTACTGAGTTCATCTCAAATCATAGAAACAAGAGACAGTTAAAATTACATTATATCAAGGAGGGTAAGGTTAAAGCCAACGTTTGTTCCTTTAAAACATATGTATTCAGAAAATCGGAAGCGTGCCCTTCTTTCTACTCTCCCAGTGTAACTGCTTCCACAGATAGACGTAAATTTGTATACACAGTTGGAGTTAACATGAGAAGGGTATCTGTCGACTTTTGACTGTACATTCATCTGTACATAAACTCAATATTTTATTTAGGCTGTGAGAAGCTGATGAGAAGCCAAAGAAATTAATGATGGTACTGTATTATTCTGCACAAACCACTGTTGTTCTTGCTTTATTCAAATAGCTTCTAGTTTTCAGCAATCCTCTTACCATTATCTATTCTTGAAAATATTAAGGACTCTATAAATCTAAAATCTGAATGTATGTTTTTCTCTTTCTACTTTTCAGAAATGACTGTTAACGTGATAAAAATAATAAATCTTAAATCAAATTTCCCGTTTACTCGACTAAACGATTCTCTATTTCAATAAATTACTGTTATTATTACTATTATTCCACACTCCTCCTAAATCACCATGCTGTACAATCATCTTGAAGATCAGGATCAGTCTTTGTGTAATTCTTTATCATCAACATCAACTTTAACACCTCCGTCAGTGATCCTTCATCATCATCACCAACATCAACATCATAATCAACAACAACAACAACAGTATCACCACCATCATTCTCAGACAGAGTTACAAGTTCCACATACACCGCATCTTGGAAATCATCGAGACAGTCAACAACATCCTGTTCCACTTCCTCACCATCATCATCATCATCACGATCCTCTTCACTCTCATCATCTTCATAGCCATTCTGATCAGTATGATGAGATGTGTCATTCCAATCCATCATCGTTAATCTATGACAATGTTATGCTATCATCATGGAATCAAAATAACACCAATATTAGTAGCACAACATCGTTACCATCGTCACTGACTTCAAATTCTTTAATGTTGATCACATCGCCTAAAAGCGTTTTATCTCAATCAGAAGATCTTATAAATGAGCCAAATATAAATTTATTAAGTCAAAATGTCTTATGTCAACAACACACTCATCATTCTCATCATCCCCACCATCTGCATTATCCTTTCCATCTTTCTACTTACCACCATCAACAACAACAACAAGAGGAACAGCTTCAAAATAATCGAATGAATAATATTCACTCAGAACATTTGCATTCATCTCATAACCAATGCGGATTAGTACAATTACCGGATATTGTTAATTCAGATAGTGGAGGAGGGAGAAGACGAAGAACAACTATGAATTCATGTCCACCGTCTATATCAGAGACATTATTAATGACAACCGGTGAGATTATACTACCTACTAGTACATCAGATGCTGAAACATTACCAACACCAACGCCACAACAGTCACTAGTTAATCAATATCCACAATATCATTTAAGTAATAAATACTTATCAGTAGAAAAATTTGAAAATCTTTCTCCATATACTACTACTACTACTACTACTATAAATACTAATGAGGATGATGGTAATAATATGAATGGTAATTTACCAATGATTACTACTCAGTCATTCACATCACCTTCGTTGTCAATGACAACGACGACGACAACAACAACAACAACAACATCGCCATCCACATCATCATCATCACCATTGCTATTATCAACTCTACCAACATTGTTTCAATCCAATTGTAATAGAAATCGATATATTTATTATAAACATTTAAATCATCGCAACTCTATAACAAATACACAAAAATTAACAAATAATTTGAAAGTATTCAATGGAAAATATCATTCAGGTACATTTCTATTCAATAATGGTAATAATAATAATAACAGCAATAACAGTGGTAGTAGTAGTGATTGTATAAATAGCATGACTTCACCGATAACACCAATGTCAATGACACAACAACATAGAGCAACACTTTGTGCTTTGAATTTAAAAGACAGAAAACCGTGTGATATATGCGGTGATGTAGCTGCTGGATTTCATTGTAATGCATATGTGTGCGAAGCCTGCAAGGTATGTATTTCCTTTTTTTACCATTTTATTATTATTATTTTTAAATAAAATAGCTGATTTTGTGATAAACCAATATCAGTTAGTGGATTATTGAAAAGTAGGGAATAATGTTTAGCTATTTCGTCCTAGTTTGGGGCTCTTCAGGAGTGTGCGACCCCACCAACCTCACCAGGGATCAACCTTCTAGGACATTCAGGTCACATAGTCATGCTAGTTTACCATTTACCCACTTTACCTTGACATGCTGGCCCCTACTGACCAATCAAGCCTGGCTCGCTTTCGTCTATCAACTAACTGTCATCCTTATTTCTGTGATTTACCAAGACGAATAGATGTTAGTGAATACGTATGCGTGTGTGTGTATATATGTGTGTATGACTCCAGTTTCAGTGTTATCTAAGCTTAAATTTTATCAAATAGAACTGTAATGTGAAGTTAAATACACATTAAAGTAAGCTCTGAATATGTTGTCTAGAAAGACAATGAAAGCTTCGCAGTTAGATCACACAGTTTACAGAAGACAACCTCATAAAAATCATCCACCTGAACTGCAGATCTTCTCTTTTGATTAGTGGTTCTTTGTATTCTGGAGATAATGTTTTAAGACAAGGGAAATCAATTCAACGGTAGTTTTCAACATTTATGCTTAACTGATGTATGTAAAATTATTCACTTTTCGAAACTTTACATCTGAATTTAATTGGTATTGTGATGCATCAGGATATCTTGTTACATACTATAGCATTTTAATTTTATTCTGTCAGTACTAGACCTTAATATGATACCGATATTATTTAGGAATTGATTAGTTTAAACAACATTTCAAAGTCTGCAAATATTCAAGAGAAATTAAACATATGTAACATTCTACTTGTAGATTTTCATTTCATGTGACTCGCCTAAATATAACAAACACTTAAATAATTTCACTGAACTGTTGATTTTTCATAGTAATCATAATGATGACAATAATAATTTGTTACAGGATTTCATCGTCAGTTGACATCGGTTAGAGAACCACTGGAAAACCAGCTGGGAGTACTCGATAACTGTTTCGTCCTAGTTAGGGCAGTCGTACACAGTGTAGGGTAGAGCAGATCGGGTGTGAGGATACATGCTCGCCGAAGATATTGACTAGTGGTCGCGCTAGGTTGTGAATTGGCAGAAGTTGGAATTCATGGACTGGCCATTGAACTGGGTCCCAGTGGCTTAATGGTTTACGAGCTCGCCTTGTAACGAGAAGGTCCTGGGTTCGAACCGTTGTAGTGGGTGTGTGCTGATGAAGAGTCCCAAACTAGGTGGATAAAACAGCCGTCCAGTACTCCCAGGCTCTCCAGTGGTTTCCTAACCGATGTCGACTGATGATGAAATCCTGTAACAAATCAATCAACTCCCTGCAAACCAACACTTGAATAACAATAATACTATTATTATTATTATTATTGTCAATACAGATATCGTCGCAAAATAACATTGATTAATTCGTGACTAAATCTACAATGAAGTTAATTCCAATTCTTATAAAATCCATAATCTAAAGTAATAATAGTAATTTACTTAAATGTATTAATTCATTGTAATTTTATTAGGAAAAGCAAGATGTCTTGAGCAAGTGACCATTCCGCTAATGACTGTTTACACATTTGCATATTTAACCTTATCCAAAATCGATTAGTATTTTTTTCTCCCTCTCTCTCTCTCTCGCCCTATGGTTGACTGTTACGCATTTATTGTATACGATACTGTTCAAGTGTTGTTGTGGCACACACTTAATAAAGGAAATGAAAGCATATAGTTTTTAGTTATGCTGAGGAGAATATCATTGGTAAGGGTAGATCTAACACTTTCTTTGGAATGAAATATTGTAGGTATTAAGATAATCATTAACTTTGCATTGATTTCACAATTTACAAGTAGTATTGTAACAACAGAAAGACAAGGGCCAGGCAACAGATCGTTTATTAAGGAAATCAATACGTATATATATATATATATATATATATATATATATCATGTACATTATTATTGCTTATTCAAGCAAACAAACACAGTCTTCTGATTGGTTGTTTCTCACTGAAAGTTAACCTTGCATCTCTTAGTGGCTGTTTTTTGAATGTCAGATCATCTATATGTTAACTGTATCCGCCTAGGCAAAGTGTACTGTGGTTGGTTGTTGAATCAGTCTTCGTTCATATTTTCTCACGATCAATGTTTGGGTCATACACATTGATGTAAATAATTGTCTTCCAATTTGGCTAGCAGCCTGCTGTCACCACAGTATCATTAGTTCTGTATTAGGCGTGTTCTGCTCGTCGTAGTCTGCTGCCTATTAGATTTTCCTCAGAGTTGTTCACGTCTTCTTCAATAGCTTTTCTACTGGACTTCTAAACTATCATTATTTCTTTGAAGGCATTGCTGGATATGCTGCTTCCACCTATTTATCCATAGTACACATTACAGTATTCGATTTGAATCCATTGATTTTACTTTATCAGATAATACTTATGATGTATTTTGTTTGGTGAAATTGACGAGAAAACTGGTGTCAGTTAAACTAAGCAAAATCAAATAGTTGTGTTTCTCCTGTCTTGAAATTCTCCAATACTTAATATCTATTGGTATATAAGAGATGGGGTTGTTAGGTTTCGAAGCGAAAACGCTGCCAGTTGACAAATGAGTACGAATTCATCGTCTGTTGATGAATTGTAATTCCTATCAGCATCAAACATACTAACAGTTTTATCCACTGTTATCAGTGAGTAACTTTCCTAACACCCGATTTTGTGAATGTTATCGGCTACAGTTTTTCATTACTACTCCAAGTAGTTCAACCTATCATCAGTTACTAAGAGTCGGGTGTGGGGATGGATGGTAATGGCTTGTGGTAGAGTTACGTCGCGAAGTGACAGAGGTTAGAATTTACAGGTCATTGGATTACATTCTAGTGGTTGAATGGGTAATGGGCCTGCCTCGTAACCTGTAGATGGTGAATCCTATCCTTGGTGGAAATGCAGATGTGCAGTGATGATAGGTACCGAACCAGGACGAAAAATGTGTTCAACACTCAGTGGTTTTCAGTGATTCTTAATTTTTCTAAGTTACAGATGGTATCTACCTTGGAATCAATCAAATCCATGCAAGTCAACGTATATGTATATATCATTTCTTAGAATGTGCATCAGTGGTACAACGGTAGAACGCTCACCGACCACGCCTCATGTGGTTCGGGTTCGATTTCCGGCCGATTCATTCCTTCACGTCGCTAAACCAGTAATAAGACCAGTAAAAAGGGAAGGTTGGACACCACTGCTACCGAAACTTCAAGCCTTTAGCTTGAAGCCCTATGTTCTACTGGGAACGTAAAGGAATTTTAAAAAAAAAATTTCTTTTAGTTTTGAGTGGAACTTTGAAGTTTCGGTTGCTACGATGCTGTTTTCATGGGGTAGGCTCTAGACTCATGCCCAGCCATCCCTTTTCACCTAGCTTACTACCGGCTAATCAAGGTTTAGTAGTGCGCCGGCAGGTAATCGAACTCAGACTGAGCCACTAACGTATATACATATATATATATATATATATATATATATATATATTATTGAATTACTAGATTTACTTGCCTGTGTTCTCCTGTTGGTAATTGTAGGCTGTAACAAATAACGTCAAGTATTCCAACGGTTAATATTCTAAATTTAGAATTCGTTGATACAGGTTCATTTCTTCAAGGGAACATGCGGTTACCGTGCATCGCGTTAATGACTAGCATTTATTGGGAAATCTAGGTACAGCGATCGACAGAGTTGACATTAATGAAAAATACAAACTTTTCGTATAGCTGCAGTTGTGCACATACAAAATAAAATTACGTTAGGAACGTATTTATTGTGTTGTACAATTAGTAGTTTCACTCTTACATTGATTGACCTCTATAGAGTAACCATTGCAGTATGTCTACTCCTTTGTATTGGTTCTAACTGAGTTCTATCAGTTAAGTTTGTAGTGTGATCACCTAGTCTGGTAGCTCACTATCGCGGTGCACTCTGGATTGATAGTAGATAGTTGGAGGCAATCAGTATAAAGTCCTAGATCTTGCACTCTAGCACTCGTCAGCAGTACTTATCTGGAAACTGTAAGTAGCTGATGTCTCTTTGGGGATTTGAACCTCTATCAACCAGTCCTACAGTCAGAGACACATTTACTGACCTATTCAGGTTCACAATTGACCTCTTGTAGAAATACGAAGTCGAGGCATACAATTCAATCGGTGTTAACACTAAGGAGATGGCACATGACATTGGTTACTTTCCAGTGAACAATCACCGTGTTCATTATAGTCTCGTAGAATGTCAATCATGAGACCGAATCGGTCAGTAACAACGTTTTTGAGTGTAGCACTTTTTGACGCAGATTAGAATCTCAGGAGGGATATTAGTTCTTTCTTTCCCGTAATCTATGTTCAGGGTTTACTACTGTTTGCCTTCAATCACTTAACGTTAAAGTTTCACTTTATAAATTGTACATACAAAACACATATTGCGAAGTACATTAACATGGATATAAATTGTGGATGGATAATAACTGCCTCACAAATGTTTAAGACCTTCATAGTACTATGGTTACATCTCTGACTAACGGAGAAAATTATTCTAACACAGTCTATATAAACTAATTATTAATCATCCTAATTTATCTTGTTCCAAACGGTCTACCTCAGTAGGTTACGCTAAAATTATCAAACTGAAACGATCCAAATGAAAGTCTTTTAATCGAAAAAAAAAGTAAATCTTTAGTGCACAAATCAACTTAGTCAGCCATGTATTGTATAAACGTGTTAAAATGAGGTTCAAAACCTTTTTAGCTAGTTTTTGTAGCAAGCGAATGAGAATAGTTGTTGTGACCTGTCTTTAGATTCTTCAACAATATGTACCCATGATCACTCCACAGACTGTGAATTTAGTTCCCTCAAGTTAAGAAGTGAAGATATTATCATTCTACCTTAAAAC